ACCAAACGCTTCATGATTTTACATGATTAATTTAAAATATCTGATTATACTAGTTAAGGGTTACAAAATCCTTATATCATTTGAATTTGGCACACTCCGTTTAATTGTTGGGTACTTTGTGTAAAAATCATATAATACAAGAGGTCAGGAAGTTTATTAAAACTATCATTCGAGATCGATTCTGTTCAAAGTTGAAAATTGAGCTAATCATTCTAATAAGTAAAGTAGCCTTTAGCAAGAATTATATGCGTGCAAAATAATCGTACAACATTCAACGAACACTGTAAAATAAATGTTACATTTTACAAATTAATGACAAAATCAAAATCTTATTGCGTTTGAAAAATAGAATATCTTTGCCAGTCCCTTGAAGTTCACCAAGAAGGTGTTGTTTCTTTTTATATAGTTACTTATAATATCCAAGATTAAAATGTTATGATAGATTTATATCACCAAACATTTAAAATCATTTTGCATTTTGATGACTTGTCTTTCTATTATTATATCATATTTACAGTCCAACAGAATACGGGTGAAAACCAAGAACTATGAGGCCTCTGTGGAGACATGTTTATAACTAACAACTTATCTTTCGCAAGCAATGAAAACAATGAATTTAAAATGGGTATTGAAGATTCGGTTACATCTATAAATATATAAAATTTTTTTCTATAATTTAGACTACGTAAAATCAGTCACAGACATAAATGATTGAGAAGAAAGCTTATAGATGTTTAAAAATACCTAGGTTTGGTGGAGTCTGCTTAGAAAGAAAGCAACATCTGACGCCACATAGCATTTCTATAGTAGTTACCAAATGCATCTAAACAACTGGCAAAATCAAACATACCTTTATACGTACATTCTGTAAGTAAACTATAAATGGACGTGTCGTATCCTATTTAAAGTAATAGAAATGATTTAGTCAACGTTTTGTTCAAACTGTTTCATGCAATATGATTTGTGTACTTTTATTAAGATTAATATATTGTACGTGATCATCTATATGCATCTTAGTTTTTTACATGCCATCGTACGTGTATAATGGACATATATTTAAGTTGTTATAATTAACTTTGATCCTGTTGCCAGACCATATTTCAAGAAACCTTTTTTATCTAAAACTATTTTTGTATTTAGATTCGTGCTTTGGACTAATCATTTAATCTTGTCTGCAAATGAGTCTTGTTTCATAAATTTACTTGAGTACTTAACGTCACTAACTAGAAGAACACACACGCATAAGTGTTACTTAGTTCTACAATTTATGTGATATCTTAAGACTCAATCATGCAGAATAGAGAAAGCTCCACGAGGCTTGCCAGATTATATGCAATTGCTCCAACCTGATGCCATTTCGAATGCACTTTTGACATGTTTCGATGAAGTCTGCTAAATACTTGAAACGTATCCGAAAGAAAAAACTTTGTGTAGAAATATTTGTTTCTTAGAAATATTTTTCGGAGAAAAAGTAAAAATTCAATATATGTTATAGGAAAAGTATCGTTTAAAAAAATAAGAAACTATATTGATTTTCTATAATATAAAAACAGGCGAACCTTTTTGAATGCTTAATCTGAATTTGATTTGATAGTTCTGTATCGAACAACATCATTTTACCGCTATCGGCAAAGTGATCGAAGGAAATGATTGATTTGCCACATTTTAATTTAGTATTTCTGCTGTATTTGTCCGAGTAACTCATTTTAAGCAGCAATCATTTTCTGTCAGCATTGATAGAGGCCGACTATAATGATTATTATGAATTCCAATTGAAAAATACGCAATTATCTAATCATTTAACATCAAAATTGGTGGCCAATTTATAATTTCAGCAATAAGTGCAAATAGAAATATGTAATATGGCCAATTTATAATTTCAGCAATAAGTGCAAATAGAAATATGTAATTGAAGTATAATTTACTACGAATGTGCTCACAAATTTGCATTATATATCTTTATAATTAATGTTTTGTCTGTTTGTTTTGATGGTACATATACGAAATCTGTTCTACATAGTATATGTATAGTCCATTCACTAAAGGTAAAGTCGGCTTCTGAACGATTTGGCTGTTTGGCTGCACAGCTTCGTTTCATAATTATAAGTGTCACAGTATTTGTAAAATAAACACCTGGTTAATAATAATTGATCAATATGTATCAAAAGACCATCTCCTGCTGAATAAACAACAAGGTGATTGTAAAGTACACACCATGAACAAAACGTGAGTCAAACACACATTACTTCAGTGAACATGCAATACCGTTCTAACATTTGTTTAAGCATACAATTGTGATTGTATCGTTCACAAATCTGCAAGCTTTTAATTTCTCAAACTGTTTGAATATGGCCAACCCTTTTCTTTACAAATAACAGGAACGATAGCCTTGAACAGAGAAGAAAAAAAAAAATCTCTTAAGTTCCCCCAAAACAGCATTATTGGAAATGATTCTACCCGTCCTTGCCCTCCTAACACCGACTTAAGTGAGATTCAAAATGAAATGGTAAAATTCTGATCATCCGCAAATATGTCGATACGGCAGTTAACATGGAAGTCATGGAAAGGTATTTATGACAAATGGTAATTTCCTTTTAGTATGACTGTTGTCCCTGAATAAAACCATAAGCGTTTAATGAACCAAGAACGATCTATAAACCATGTGTGTATCTCTTTCTAATTATTGACGTTAAGCGCTTTAAGTAAATTTATGACACTGGATTCATTTGCGGACACGTTTATGTTATTAATATTTGACATGGATCTCAATAACAAAACAGTTTTAGATAAAAAGATTCTTGAAATATTTGTCTTGTAACAGGCTCAAGGTAATTTTCGTGTAAATATTACTTGTCAATATTGACGTTCGAAAAACGGGGTAAAAATATTTTTCATAGTGATATGGATTATAAATTATTCAAAAACACACTAGTTTGCTTAAAAGAGTGATGCTTTTTTAATCGGGTTTCACGGCGGAACAACGCAGTATAGTTCGTATGGCGACTTTCGAGCTTTACTGTTTGAGGAAGGCTTCAGGTGCCCCTCTGTGCATTATTTTGACACGAACGGGGGCACCAGAATAGAACCACCGACGTTTCTCACATGTAAGTCCATGTCAAAATTCTCACACACAGCAGTGAGGTGCAAACTGTTGAAGTCATCGACTTTAAGGGTGATGCTTTATAATTTGAATATATAACAGTGATTATGTTAAAAAAATCAAGAACACAAAAATAAAAATACTATTCAATAGATGGTGTAGCGCTATAATTGTAAGGAAAATCAGTTATTCATTTAAACCATCAACTGATTTAAATGTGATATAGAATCAGTCATATCATTATTATCATTTAGAATTAAAAAAATCAGTGCACTTTATTTAAAGGACTGTTTCAGAAAATTGTAATTTACAAACCATGTTATGTCAATTTATATGGACGATCATTCAGCACGCAAACAATTCTTGCTTAAGGCTACTAATTAGCCGATTTAGCTCAATACTTTACTTTGAACAGAGAAGATCAAAATTGATTGTTTGCTTTCACTGGTAATGCACTTCTTGATCTCCTTTTTGTAATGATATTTAAACTGAAGAGTGCCACATTTCAAATAATACTGGGGTCTAGTAACCTTTTGACTAGCGTGTACAACATATCATTGTTGTAATTAGGATAAATGATGAAATTTTCATTACCCAAGACAAAACAATTAGGAGTATTATAATATGTGTACAACAGTTCATTGTTAAATCTTCAACCATATTGCTAATAAAGTCAAATATTTACAGAGTTCTCAGCATCAGCATTTCCAAACATGTATACCAATAAAGTTCTGACAACGAAGGTCGATGTTCTTTAACCATACTCATATTTGAATGTCACGTCACGTTCAGGTTGAAGAAGTGTTCATGCTGATTAAACATGTGAATATGTTTATAACAAGGTATTGACCAAATATAGGTAATTTTATACGAAATCAATTTGCAAACAAAATTCAGCAAGAATTAAAGAGCATGCTTTGAACTTTATATTTAGCGAAATACGTTTCAGTTGTAAAGATATGTTCATCAGACATTTAACGCGACAAATGAGGAAAATTGATTGTCTTTATACTTACTGATGTAGATATGTTTCTCGTTTAAAAAAGTACAGTGCGGACGATTTGTAGTTGCCTTACATGATAATATACAGTTTAAAAACAATTAAGAACCACATTACAATTTACTAAGAATTGAAAAGAACTTCAACTGATGACAATTTTGGTACATATAAACATCAAATGCAACATCTTTGGGAAAGAACTTAAACTTTAAACATACCAAATGTATGTTTTTATTATTGTATGTCCAACTTTGAGAATATATAATAGTAAAATCTTTTTGCGTTGTAAAGAAACACATGTCGCTCACTTATTTACCTTATCATCTAAATTATACATTTCTTTATCTAATTCTTGACAAAATACGCTATTTTGTAAAGATAATGAAATCAAAGTTATTATGTTTTGTCAATATGTTCGAAACATAACCAGAAAAAAAAACCAAACGGTTTATTTTATTTCGCTAACTGATTCCCTATATTTTTTGCTTACTCGTCTCAATACCGTAATTTATTTTCTTTATTCATGTGAATAAAACCTTAACATGCCTTTATTTGTAGTTCTATGAACATCTCATTTTTACGCCTCGTTCATATAAAGGTTTTCAGCTACCTTTATGATATGATATAAGGTTCAAATGAAATGCGTGACAATTACTGCAGTAAAAAATATCAACCTGTATAATTGCAAAATAAAGGAGTATATAAGTAACCAAGGAGATATTTAATGTATGAAATGAGATAACGTGTATATTTTTAAATGTATGAGAAAATAACATGACTTACTGTACGTTTTAAAATCTATACATCCAGAAAAAAATGAAAAAAAAACATAAAAATTCTTTATTTCAATATCAATTTATTACATAACTATCTGAACATCTGAACATAAAAAATGTCAATACATGTATGCACCCCTCTTCACATGAAGACATGCCTTTATTTGAATCATAACATATCATAAATCGGCTTTAAAGCATCGGTGGTACAAAGATATGTCAATGCATGAGTACCTTGCGATTCCGCATCAAAATATGGTTCAGTTACAAAGCACAAAATTAACTAAAAATCGACTGAAACACATAAAAAGCGTTACCAAATATGATGTTTATAGGTGTGTGCATTTCAGCTCCACATGCACACATGCTTCTGTTTTCACATGTTTGCTTACAATTTCAACGTGTTCGATGAGATACTAATCAATGTTTTTGCCATTAATTTTTCCGCATCAGTTACCAAACTTCAATTACCAGCCTTTTTTTCTGCTGTAAATTTATCAAATCGATCAGTGTCTTTTAGGAAAAGTCTCTTGTCAATGATATTGCTGATTATTTTTCAGGTGAGCTTCATATGATACTTCGTGTGAATAATATCCTTCTTTCAGTTTCTCCATCAAAAACACAAATAAATGACTCCACGCATTTGCAACATCCGGGGTAAAGCGGTCACGCATACAGATTGCCCACTGGCACATTAGAGCTTCATAGAATATTTCAAAATATTCCGGTTTAAACCCTTTAAAGTTCTGATGCTGCTGTCCTAAGTCAAACAAAAATTTGCATAAGGTGTTCCCTTCTCTGTCAAAGTTTTCTAAACAATCTACAGCTGAACCAATTGCGCTAATAAAACGTTTCCCATGAGCTTGTATCGTAGCATTTCTAGCAAGTTGCGAATGCCGAACATTTTCAACCTTGAACAGAAGCTTGACTTCCGGACATATTTCAAAAATTCTTAGAAAAAGCTGGAGGCCGTTACCTTGCAAGTCCTTTGCCAACGAAGGCCATGTTTGTTGTACCGTCTTTATTTCGGGCCCTGTTAGCTCGATTTGGCATTTCAATGTGAAGACAATCCGACTTTTTATTGGGTCATTAATTTGAGTGAAAGTTTTGATTGAATGCTTGTTATATGAAATTGAGTTAGTGCAACCCATACTGTCTAAGCTCCCTTGTGTCAAATCTTCTGCAAATTTTGTCTATATAAAATGAGTAGCCTTTTTTGTTCACAAACATACGTTATTCATTAAAATTCACTACGTCTTATTTTACTTTTTATGTCCGAACCTGTGTTAATATATTCTATCTTTATATTTCCGGATTAATTATTATAAAAATATCCTGCACAGCCTTTTCTAGTTTATGAATATCAGTAAAATAACATAAATGCTACATCTTCCTTGGTGAATTTATTTTATTTTAAACTCCAAGGCAAATATGTTTTGTTTTCTTTTGTCACACAGACGAGTTCTAGCCAGTATTGGAATTTTTACACATTACCTCTCTTTTATAGCCACAAGTCTTCTGGAAGAGTTTCATTGGACGACTTTGAGATAATCAAATATATTAGAAACGCGTGTAGTGTTTTGTTTTTCAACAATTAGCTTTGTATCGTTATATCTGTTATTTAATGTTTTGGTTGTCTTTTCGGACACGTTTCTCAAGGACAATTAGCTGGTAATTGGTAAACAACTCGGACTTTTCGTTATTAATGTGTCTACTAATATGCAATCAGGATAGTTCTTACACTCTCATATGCATTATTACTTACTTATAGCATCCTTTTTAATCATCATGATCTTCAATTGAGATATTATTATTTTGTAATATTGGTTTTATTTTTCCTGTCCTTCGGGATCAATGATTCCTGTACAATAAGTGTTGAAGATAAGATTGAATACCGCCACTTAAGTCGCTGCTAGGGGCGTGAGGGATGTTGCATTCTTTCCAGAACAAATTCAATTAAAGCGAGTCTGCAGTTTTCATGTAATTTTGCTGTTATTAATGCTTCCAATGGTCAACTTTTTTCCAGATTTTTGTTCCTTTTTATTAACAAAGTATAAACTAGTAACAATAAATAAAGAGTGAAAGTCACTTCAATCCAATAAACGCATTTCTATTCTAAAAGGTATTTTGGACAAGAAATATAAGCTTATCGTTTTTTAAATACCGGTGTTGAAAGTTAGCACACTAGTTTATTTCATTTTAAATTCCATCTTAATTAGCAACCAGCGAGGTCGTGATAAAAATGTAGTTTATGTCATTCTTGAAAAAAAGTTCAATGAACGCAACCCCCACACGACACAGGACAAGAACAAGTAGCAAGGAGCCCAGGCAAACCCCAAACAAAAACAGGACAGGATACAAGGCAGAAAATGGACAGGCTAATCGCTTAATTGATAAATAACTTGTAACTGATAAGGAATTCAAAGAAAACAAATAAATGATTGAATAATAAGAAATAATTTGTAACTGATAAAGAATTCAAAATTCAATCGAAGTCACAAGCGAAGCAGAAAAAAATGAATAACATTATTGTTCAAGAGTTATGCCATATGATACTAATACCTGCACTCCTATTAACGCACCGTGCATTTATATATTTACAATTTAATTCGGACAAATTTTCAACAGAACGGTCCCAAACTATGATACAACCATCTTTCATTGTTTTGCCTGTAATGCTTATTCAATACATCCCTATTAGGGACTGGAATCGCTTTAAAAAATGACGAAATTATGTACGCTACTAATACTTTTTAAATTACAAAAGCATGAATATTTCGAAAGTTGTAATTAGCAATAAATTAACATCATGATCAAACTTGTATGCAAACAGAGATATGCTAACACACAAAGTTCTGCATTAAATATTGTTCCTTAGACAATATATCCCAATAGTTCTTATAATTTGTCAGTGACCTGTAAATTAATAAAACAATTATAAATATTTTTTTTTTTATTTTAAGACATGATAGTTTATTTTTCAGAAATTTGTCATTGGTTTTGTTGGTTTATAATTTGAGCCCGATGGTCAATAATTGTGGAAAAAACGGGTAGCTCATTCAAACTTTTTTCGAATCCAGTACGCCCTAGGACTGACCTGTGCTAAAGTCTTGCAAGGAAATAAAGTATACTTATTCATATAAAAATCCGTATGTATTAATAGTTGAAAATGGAAAGCTATGAAATAATATGTAGTGTACTGAATTTCTAAATAATCATATTATCTAAAAATATATTAAGAAACTTCGGACATTATTACATACATATTATAATTAGGATAACATAGTTACGATAATAACTTCACTCATAAACTTATTTACTAACAGAGAACAACGACTGTAAATGTATAAACATAACTTTAAAGGCTTTATGTAAAGGATATTTCAAGCAAACAAAATTCTTTTCTGAATAAACGAAATGCTTTTGTCATTTTTCTAGATGAATCTTTAAACATTTCTAAAATATGCATGCTTTCCTGCTATATTGAGATTTCCTTAAAGAACAAACTCATAATGGTTATTTTTAAAACCTTTAACCTTGAAGAATATAGACTATGTATTCAGCCCATGGCTTTACTGAGGAAAATCACCTTTGAATGGTCTTACATAATGTGTTCCTTTTAGTATAGACTGAACAACATTCACACCAAGTTTTGCACTTTCTGTAAATATATCTGCTGCGAAAATTGTTGTTTGAATTTTGAAAATGCATGTACTTACGAAATAAGATATTATATAATCTTACAGAGGATGACGACGCACAATTAAATCCCTATATATAACAGCAGCATTATATTTTGTTCGGGAACATTTAATTATGTTTCCTTGCAATTCATGTGTTAAATAACGAAGATTTGCCCGCACATCCGTCATTATTCAAACCGTTTGCTATTCAGTCAGCATATATTTTGATCATTTCCCTAAATATGATAAATATTTTTTCCAGATGGAAAGATAGACATATCAATTTGAAATATTAAGTGTAGTTGAAGTTGATTAAAATGATTGGTCAGTTTTAAAGCTATGTTGTTCAACGTTAAAATGTTTGTACAGAATCAAATTAGTATTAAATTTGAACACAAGAACAATAAACACTCGTACATGTATTTAATGAACACATGGAGCTAAAAAGCAATGAGTAAACTTCGTCAATGTATCAATGATAGACATAAATATTATAACAACTAAAACAAAGTTTACAGCTATTGTTTTAGGTCTTATAAACTGAAATTGACGCAGAACCTCGTCATCATAATTCAGTATTTATATTCCGGTCAACGTTTAGATCGATATTTACATGATTTATTCAAATATTGTGTGTCTGATCAGACAAATCAGCTATTTAAATATCCTGATATGCAAATCTACATAACAAGACAAACACAATTGATCCTAGTAATTGTGACACTGATCTCATAAAAAACAGTAAAATAACATTGCAATAATCTGTGCGGTTCAATGACCGCATCATAAAACAAAATTCAAACACAAGGACCATTACAGGATGACATTGTAAATTCATCATGGCTTTGAATAGAAAGCATTATATTTTTTGAAGATCTCATGTGGTCAATTTGAAATCTAATATTAGAACGAAAAGGATATAAGATATTGAGAGCAATGTGTAAACCATAGCATTAGACAGTCTAGATAATTTACCGCAAGTTGCACGTATTTTCTTAACACAAAACTTTAATTTGCAATGAAATACATTACTTTATAAATATAATAGTTATATGCGTTGCCTGCTCCAAAAGTAATTTGTTGATAACTATGACGTAACTATCATTATCACATATACAATACAGTTTTTTTGTTTTGTTTTATTTTATTCTGCTTAGTGATATTAATGAAAGACAATTTACGTGTGTTCAAACAATGAAAACAATAGAGACAAGTTTATTTGTGCGAAGCAAGATTTAATTCAAATTTATTAACAGGAAAACATTCTTGTATTTTAAGAACATGTACTCCAAGAATACTCGTCAATCTTTGAAAAGAAACCGCATTGGAATGTAAATGTGTTATTCAATCTATAAATATTAATAAGTATGTCAAAAATATGAAACATTTTTTTAGATTTTTTGCAACGGATTAAAGGCGTTTTATCAATTGTCAAGGTTTGTCAGTGAACCCTGTACAATAAGCTTTAACTAAAAAGTCGTAATACTGATATAAACATATCTGAATGAAAATATATGACTTAAGTATAATTTGTTCACACATCTGTAGTTAAACAGTCCTTTTAGTAATAAAGATACATTGATAACTTATTGCTTTCTACTTTTTTGTTGATATTTTTATATTATATAAAGAGAAACACAACCATCTATTTTGGACAGAAGACAACAAATTGACTGACTTTACAGTCGAAAATGCAAATTTGATACGTTTTCCTCTCCCGTAATTTCTATACATGTTCAATTTCTATGCACGTTCACGATTGCAATGTTTGAGTTTCTGCACCAAGACATGCTCTAAAGGATAGAGGTATCTAAAGAGAAAATGATACGTGTTCATTATTGTTAGTCTGTACCTTTCATTACTTAGTTATTAATCACTTTGAAAATCCAACTTGTTTTGTTAAAAAGATGTATAGGAATCATTGTCATCACTGTTCCAATAGATTACTGAGTTAACTAAACAATCTGTTTACAACTGATAATGTAATTGAATATGGCACATATTCTATGAAATGTTATCAAGAATATGTTATTGCCCCAAAATAAAGAAAAAAGTTTATTAAAATTGTGGTATCTGTTTTATGTTATTGTACCAAAACAAGAAAACATGTTAATCACAGTTATTCCATCTTGCATTTTATGCATATTGGATCTGTTTGTTTCGCTTACATTTTGTTATCTGTTTCGTGCATGAGGTCCCTTGATAATATACACCAGATATAGTAACCTTGTTTACATTGCATATCTTATTGTCTGTGAATGAAGCATTAACAGTGCCAACAATGCTGGATAACACGATTGGAAATGAAATGGAAGGAATATTTTCAAGGGAACAGGAAAAACTTTAGCCGGACAAAAGCGGACAAATGTAACATTGATATCATAAATTGCAAAAATTATCTCTAGATTTTATATAATGCTGAAAAAATAGAGTAATGAAAAATTAATCTGTCTTTTGCAGTGCAATAAACATTATACTGAACAATGCTTGGGCATTGTTTGAAATTCAAATAGGTTCCTTCATTTCATGTCGATTTCGAAGTACAAACGTAATATAAAACATGTTGCCATTTGCAAAAAAAGAAAAGAATATAATGTATCAATATTTTATGAAATAATTGTCATTTATTCCTTAAAATTTGTTACATTTTTTCTAAAAACAATATCAAGTGAACATAAAAAGCCTCATTTTAGATTATATTATTCACGAATGACGCCTGTTTTCTGTTATATTGCCATCAGCTATACATAAATATCTTCTGTATAAAACA